GTGGTGTTACTGTTCTGTGTACTGTTGCAGTTTTCATACGGTGGTGTTACGGTTGTGTGTACCGTTACAGTCTCCTTACAATGGTGCTACTACTGTGTGTTCTGTTGCAGTCTCCTACCGTGGTGTTTCTATGGTGTGTTTTGCTGGAATGTGATACTCTGTCATGGTATTGGTTGCCAAGAAGCGTATGCCGTTGTCATGCCATCGCTGCGTTTCGGTTGTTGTATACAAGATATAACATTTGTTATACTGCTTTCATATCTCTTGCAGACACAGAGAGAAAATGTGATGGAATCAGCAGCTTCGTGACTGCCTTGCAAGACATCGGCAGTGAACGTCCCGACGAGAATATAGCTATCGTGAGTGACTGAAAGCAGTTATAATGGCTGCATAAACGCGCTTTTGCGGCTGGATAGATGGCACACGAACTTGTAGTTCGCTCTGAGACATTAGTTGAAAGGCGATTTGAACGGCACATATCGATGTCTCGCAGGTCAGTGTGCTGCACTGTGGCTTTGTGATGTTTTGTAACAATCTGTAACCCACCCGTGACGATGTGACTGTTGTGACGGTGTGCTGTTACGTTACGATGCGTTCAGCTAAATTACTATGGACGTTTTGGGAGACGTGTGAATCTTCTGTCCAACGACGCTGTGAAGTTTTGTGACAGCTAGCTGTCCGCCTGTGACGCTATGTGTTGTCTTGCCAGCTGGTTGCGATTGTCTGCCGTTTTGTAACGCCGAAATTTGTTCTGTGTCTGTGACACTATTTTACGGCACCATCGAACCTTTGCGCACTGGGTGTTCACTGTCCCGTCAGGTGCTGGAGGGTGCCGAGAGGCTCCGTGACCTGGACGAGGGCGTGCTCTCGTCCCTGCTGCGACTACAGGAGCTCACCGGTCGCCCCGTCTGTCTCCTACTCACCTCAAACCTGGTGTGGGATAAGTTCCAGACGCCGGGCGGTCTGCCGCAGCCACTGCTCGTCCATTTCCCGCAGTATAGCCGCGGTGAGACACGAGAGGGCAGAGGGACGAAGGGCAGAGGAGGTGTGTCGAACAGGCTGTGGCTGCATCACACAGACCAGCGATACTGCGGGAACTCAACCTGTGTTGTGGAAGCTGATATGCTGGTTATAAAAAATGTGTCTGTTAAGATTTAAGAACTAGCTTTATAGTTCTTTATTTTGATTGGCACGGTATTTGCTATTTAACGCTAGATGTGCGTCACTGACTCACTCTAATTTAAAGGGACAGTATCACCATTTTGATGAAATTTGATATTGCATAGGCCCCACCTTTCTGGTCCGGGAACTGAAGACCGATCCTCGAAGCTCCACACCGTTATCCCGCTATCGCCGCTCAAAGTACGAAAGGTGTAGGGTAAGGGCGGGTAAGAGTACGCGGGCGATAAGAGTACGCATCAGCTGTTTCGGTTGCTTAGCAACGCGGGTTTGTCGAGTTCATGAAGTGACATGAAGCCGCCAGTGCGTGCTTGTCACCAACGGAACGTGGGCGTTGAGCGGCGACGCTGTTGAGTTTAAGGCGATGAATATTATTTTGGAGCGTTATGATATTATTTTGGTATGGTACAATAATTTTGATACTTGGCAGTTGAGATAAGATACATTTCCGTGATTGTTGTGGGAAACTTGTGAGGTTATCTGGGGAAATACCGTGCAGTACAATATTCTGTTTGCGAAGTTTTGCTCAACGTTTCGGGGTTGTTTTGTGAGCGAATTGCATGTACGGTAAGAGGACGCACTGTTCAGGAGGGTAAGAGTACGCAGAATTATACATTAAATCGAATATACAGAAATATAAAATTATTAATCTATCGCTCAATGACGTTTGTTTTGTAGGTATATCATCAATGGAGCACTGTGATGCAGATGCGTACCCGAAATTCTTCCAAATACGAGTTATTCTCCCTTTTGATTATGCATTTTTTTCAGAAACACACGACATGATTATTTCCTGATTTATGACTTGACTGACTTGAAAGATTTATTTTATGTTTTTCTTTTTGGATACTAGAATTAACTTAAATGCCTTCTGAGTTTGAAGTTAAGCATTTGGACAGTACAAGCTGCATAGGTGTGTGTTCATAATCTTGCGTACTCCACCCGCCTGGCGTGCGTACTCTTACACACCCCATATGGTAAGAGTACGCAACTGCAGCGGTTCAGAAAATGTCAGGTTTAGACCGCTTCCATTTACGCTGAAGGATCGTTGCCCCATGGGTTGATGGCTAATTCAATGAGGTTTAATATTCCCTATTTGCGATTTCTTTCTTTCAAATATTAGACAAATGAGAGCAAGAAATCCACTAAGTGCGTACTCTTATACGACTTCACCCTACTACACTTTGAATCGTGCTTCACTATCTTCACTGTTTAAATGTTTGCGCCGTTTTGAATTGACCGCCAGTAATAAAACTTTTACCCTGGTCATTTCATCAAATTTTATAAAGCCAAAACGTTTTTCGCACTTATTCATCACCGTTAAATTCATTAAAAAGTCGTAGGCAATTTCCGCTGTTTCCTTCGGATTCTAGCGGCTCAACAAAGGAATTCCTCCAGCTTGAATCACAATCTCCCTCCAATGTATGACGTTTATCACGTGATTGTCACGTGATATTTTATCCCATTGTCAATTGCCACGTCCAATTGTCACTCCCTCCAATTGTCACGTGATATTTTTATAGGCAATACCTAAGGCTACCTCTCCCTAAGGACAACTCAATCAGAAGAACGACCGCGTAAGCGTAGCGTCAATAATGTATTATCTGCGCCAGTTCTGTAGTAATTTTGCATGCTTCCAAACTGGCGGCCATGCCTGTATAGTGGTGGTTCGCTCATGAAAATGAATCATGAAAATGAAATGTGGTTGCAATATTTTTCACCAAGTTCGGTCCTCAAACTATGTTTTTCTGATTCAGAAAAATAAGAAATGCTAGTAAAAAAAAATCAGCTCCATACATTGATTTTTTTTCGATGATACTGTCCCTTTAACTGAATTATTTGTGCGTATTATTGTTCCACTTGCCAGGTCCGCAACATGTTGCACCGCCGTGACTGATAGTTGTGTTTTCTGCCGACAGAGGCGCTGCAGTCGATCCTGGCGCTGGACCGGCCGTCAGACGTGGGCGAGCAGTTCTACTCGGGCTACCTGAACCTCATCCTGTCCGTGTTCGTGGTGCCGTGCCGCAACGTGCGCGAGCTGCGCCACCTGGCGCGCGCCAGCCTGGCGCACTACCGGGCGCCAGTGCTGTCTGGCGAGGTGGCGCCCACCGACCTCCGCCGACTCTGGCGGCACGTGGAGCCGCACCTGCGCGCGGCGCTGCGCTCAGTGTACCTGCGCGAGGCAGACAGCGCTCAGTGGCTGCGCACTCAGACCCAGTTACCCGAGGCGGCCGTCCAGCCGAGCTCGCACGACCGGCCGGGGATACTGGACGCCGCCGACCACCAGCGACTCAACACGGAGCTACCGTTCTACTCGAAATTCCTCCTGATTGCCGCTTACCTGGCCTCGTACAACCCGGCCAAGTCGGATCGGCGATTCTTTGTCAAACGCACCGGGAAGGGCGCTGGCCGACTGAAGGCTCGTCCGGCCGCCGGCGCGCGCGTGTCGGCTCTTCTGACAGGACCGAGAGCGTTCCCTCTAGACAGACTGCTGGCTATCTTCTATGTGATAGTGGAGGACCGGGTAGCGCCTACAGCCAGTATCTACTCTCAGGTGTCATCGCTGGTCACCCTGCGCATGCTCACAAGACTCGGTGGGAGCGACAATCTGGACTCAGCCAAGTACAAGTGTCTAGTGAACTTCGACACGGTCAAGTCGATCGCCAAGACGGTGAATTTCGAGGTGGAGCGGTACCTGTATGACTTTGTTTAAATCTTTGTCTCAAAAGTACGACTTTGATGTTTGTCTTGGTGTGGTATTCAGTGCCAGTGCTTCGGAAGTGACATGTGACATGACATGTGAAGTGACATGACAAGTGTGTCAATTTTCCAATAGCGCGCTGTCTCAGGACTCATTTTTCCGTCCTGGGCTTCGCCGCAATGTTGTGTTGTGTCGCGATATCGTGGTGGCTGACGGGTTGTGATCTCGTGTTTGAGCTGCATGGGTGCGCCCTGTGGTACTGCTGATGCCATACGGTCTGATTTGCCTCATCATGTTTCGGCATCTATTTCTCATTACCTCACGATTGTCGGACGCGTCTCACAATGCTGAAATCGATTGCTAACTAGACAGTGGAGTGAGAGTGATGTTCCTTTGGTCCCTTCGCTGTGATCCTGATGTCTGGCTATCGTTGAAGTACAACAGTCAGTATTTCTTGCCCAGCTGTGCTATCTCGGATGTTTGCGAGTCCTTTGGAGCGACACAAGCGCGTTGCCCAATATTTATCGCACGATGAACTTGCGCTGTGCGTGCCTAAGTGTTTGCCGTGGGCCCAGAAATGGCATTATCTGACAAATACAAACGCCTTTTTTACTTTGTTCATGCGAGAAACGTCTTGGGTATTCCCATCTACACTGACAACGGTTGCATTGCGGCGGGAAGGCAGAGTGCCAGTAGGGGACAAAGTGGGGCGCTAGGATGGCGGCACAGACGTTCAAAAAACTGGATCTCTGACTGAAACCTCTGCCCTGTCCCGTAGCTCAGTCGGTAGAGCGTTGAACTCCGCGTGGTGAGAGCACGCGTTCCCGGTTACATAAGTCCGGCTGCGAAACACGACGGGCGCTTGACGTTTATCAGCTTCCTGACGGGTATTGCTGCGGTAGGTGGCAGGCCCTAACCAGTCTATGTCACTGAGGGGACCGGCCGTGCGCGGCTTTAGGCGCGCGTTAAACTTTGGAGTCTATATTCTGCCATAGACCAGGAATTGCGCGATCGGAGGGTAGAGGGCAGGGTCAACGCAACAAGCTCCGCTCGGCGGGGCTCTGTCCTTGTGAATCCCGCCATTCAAAAAGGTTCGTTTTTTTGCATAAAAAACGGTCCCTCAAACAGAGTAGCTTTATTCATTGACACAGTACATATACACGCCAGCATACATATTCATTTTCACAATACACGTGAGATAGTAAGTAAATCGTATATCGCCGCGGGGAAGTCTCCGACTTCCTGCGGCGCTGTAATGACTCCCCGAAAGACTGCCAGACCGGGACAGAACCCAGACCCCTGAGGCCCGGTCGGAGGGGCGTGGGCACACCAGTGGTGACCGCTCCGGTACCGGGAGCCAGGGACGGTGACCAGTGACCACCCCTCGGAGGTTACTGACGAGATCCACAGAGCGTGCTTCCCGTAACGATGCGTCGAGCGTCCGCCGCTTCAGTGCAGGGCTGTTCATGGGTAGGATGACTACGGGGGTAGGTCGTGCTCGACGAGACTAATTGTCACGAGGCCAATACGCGATCAGAGAAGAGGGCGTCACGATATATTACGCTGCCATTCCCCGAACATTCGCGTGTTCAGAGGCCACTGATCTCTCCCATCCGATTCAATCGCTTCAATCTGAAGACATCTATCCGAAAAATAACGACCTCCTCGGCTGCGCGTAGCCTCGAGTCTCGGTCGGCCCATGGCGTCAATGTCCCGGACCTTAACCTCGCATATTCCACCGCAGCTCTCTGTCCACGACTGTCAACACCACATCTCGTTTCAACCCGCTGTTCCGGACCGAAAACCTCCACTCTCAGTCTGTCTGTCTATAGACGGCATCACCGCGAGCCAGCTGTCGTGCCACTCGAATACACCGCCTCAATGCGTCACTGACTCTAGTTGGATCACTTATCAACTATCACTCCAACCTGAGCATCCTCAGCCTCAGCAGTGTCGGTCATTATCGGCACTCATCACACAGAATAGCCTCCCGCTGTTCTTCATTCTCATCCCTCCGTGTCCTTCTGTGACCTGTCCACTCAGTGCTCTAATGTATTCACATCTGTCTTTATTCACGCCGCCGGTCCAACTGAGGAACTTCAATCGTCCAGAGCGCCACTGGCCAGGTCTGTCATGCGCGGGTAGCTGACCTTTTTCTGATCGAGCTGACCCTGCGCCCACAGTACCAGTTTCAGAAGTGTCTCCAGTCGGGTGGTCGGGTCGGCGGAGCTCTCCAGACGCAGAATGGCCGCGTTCAGCTCACTGGCCACCTGGTGACGAAACGGGACGAGTAAAAGAAGGTATAGCAAATCCTCAACTAGCTGTATGTGAAAGACATGTGCGGCAATTAACTGTTTGAAAACTAAAAACAAACAAGTCCGCCTATAAGTCTTTCAAGCAGCTCAGAAAAAAACTACTGCTTAACGCAACAAACTGATCTGGAGTCGCATGCCACTAATAAACATTTAGCTAATCACCCAAATTTCAGGTTCAAAAGAATCAGCTCAGACCGCCCTACATATTCCATCCGTTTCCACCTTCCACGTACCACCCGCCGTCCCCACATCCACCCGCCCACCTTCTGCCTGTGTGACGAATTGAGTAGGTCCCCGAACGGAGAGTTGGCCGGGTCCTCGAACGCCAGCAGCGCCAGCGTGCGCTCCAGCTCGGCCAGCACCTCAGTGTTCTCCTCTCCCCTCTCTGCCAGACTCTGCTGCGCGAACGCCAGTGCCTCCTCGATGCGTCCGGCGCGGATGAGCTCGATGAGGTGCTGCTGCTGCAGGTGGAAGTAGAGATAGCGGTCCGAGTCGAGCAGCTCCGGGTGCAGCTTGTTCACCACGTCCGTGGCGTCCGAGATGCGCCCCTCGCGGATCGCGTCACGGATCCTGGACGACGGGAGAAGTGGGAGGGAGTGTTAGCACTGCATCTGTCACATGGCTACCTCGCCTATGATTTTCTGTACAAAGCGACTCAGCTATTTGATGACCACTTATTTTCCGGTCACTCAGGCGAATAGAGCCGAAGATAATAACCAAAACGGTAGATATGTCATCAATTTTTCAGCCAATAGTGTGAGTGATTCTCGGCTGACAACAGCACAGCAGCTGAATGTGTACAGGCCTAATGACACCAAACCTTCCACTGAAATGAACTTGTAGTTTTGTTTTCACTCTCTATTGTACCTTCGTTTCCTTATCTGTTCCAAAAGACCTCTACATTATATTCTAGGATCTATCAGGCCAGCAGGCGGCGGCATGATGTCGACAAACATCGTCAGAACACCTGCTTACTTGATTCTGTCATCGAGCGAGGAGAGATTGACACCAGCTGATACGCCCGACTCCTGCGAAAACTTCTCTGCTGCGTCCTTAAAACCCTCTGAAAATACAACGGGGGAACACACTTCGTCAGTTATAGAGTAAAACGGAAACTGTTAGAACGCAAAAAAAAAAACGCTGCAACAGACGGTGGGGAGATATCTTAATTACTATTAGCTGGATGAATGAATAGTGAATGGACGAACGAACGAATAAATGTATGAATGACTAAATGGATGGACTCGTTTGATTTTCTAGGCATACAACATAACATCGAAGAACTGTAGACGACGGCTGACGATTCATTTTGTCATCTTACTTAGACTTAGTTCGTCGACTCCATCTAGTAGATGCAGGATCATTTATGATCGTCTTCCAATTAGGCTGGCTGTCATCGAACGTGCAACTGACTATCGCCAACATATCAGCAGTCAGCATGTCCGACCACGGACTAAGTACTATCTATTACAGGCGCTCATTGTACAACTGTGCGAGGAGGAAGCGGCGTCATCTCACCGGTGACGAGGTAGTTCATGATGAGCCGGTTCATGTCTGTGCGACTGACATGCAGCCGCTCCAGCCGGCCGGCCCACTCCTCCTTGGAGATGCCGCTGCCCTCCGCTCCGCCGTGCTTACTCATCCTGCTGTTCGAGGGCGAGGGGAGGGGGCAGAAGGCGGGACAGGTCACAGGCAGCCCGACGTCCCGCTAGCAAGGCCTGTCACGCTGCAGTCTTGCACGCGACTGGGAAGTGAGGTAGCGTTCAGCTTTTGGTTGCGATTGATCAGGGATGAAATAGTGTCTTCAACAATAGGACAAGGGCGATAAGCTGTCCAAAATTCATACAGTAAATGATTAGTATGCACATTTCTCTGATAGTCACACCACCAGCACAGTGCTAAACAGAGGATACTGGATCCATACACTAGGTATGAGTCAATTAGTGAGAAGCTAGAAATCATAAATCATTGCCCACAGCATGAACAAGAAGTTACAGTAACATAGCACATAGCTGCAGGTTTTTGAATAGGGTAATGCCAACAACGGATATACATTGATGATGATAAAAACACCCATGAAAGTCAGGAGAGCTAGCTTACAAGGGGTAAATTAAAGGAAATAGTTCACTTTCCTGAAATTAGTATTTTGCTATGGATTTATGTTTTTTTATGCTTAAAATGATCAGAAAATAAAACAAAACGTTTTTGTAAAAAGGATTATTTTCTATATTTTAGTATAAGAAGAACTATATTCTATATAAAACAATGTTTGACGCGGAAGCTTATTACGCGTTGACCAATCATATTGCGTAGGACAAACCCATCGGCTGTAAGCAGCATTCTGATTGGCTGACGATGACGTGACTGCATTCCTCAGCAAGGCACGCATTCCTCTGCAAGGCACTCTTTTCGGAACGAAAAATGGAATATCTTCGTCTAGGGTGATCGTTGGGCCGTAAAAGCTTCTGATTTGTGCTAGTCTCAGCACAAGCAACAAAACTGCTATTCCAGTTCCAAACCCCATGTTAAAAGTGAACTATTTCCTTTAACACCAAAATAAAGAAGGCATCTAAATAACATCATGTTCATCATAAAAACAAAACATAAATTTCGTTTTTCATGCAACATTAGACGCGTTTACATAGGGTTTGTTGCAAGCTTATATCTCCGTCCGTGATGTTGCAAAAGATGCCAATGGTGCTGAGCAATTTACAAAATGATCCCCTCTAAATATTTGAAGACCACTGCATCGAAATTATCGCCAAATTAACGAGCTAGAGCCTCGTCAAATATGCTATGTAAACCGGGTTATTATTGCCACAGCAGTGAGCAGTTTCTCATAACTTGATTTTTTTTTAAGAGGACTAATTAATGACTCACCTATTTCTTTCCATTGTAAAAATTCCTTCAGCAAAAGTGCAATAAATGCTGGTATTTAGGTAAATAGAAAGACACCAACTTCAGTGTGATGTTTTCCACATCAGTATCTGCTGAAGGAAATAAATTAATCAATATTAAGATGCAACTAAGACATGTTCAGTCAGGTTTCATAAAAATCCAGGCTTACTGATATTAGATAAATGCATAGAATGGCAGGGAAAGTGACTTCATTTAATAAAGGAATTATAGAAATTGGTAATGCTGACAAACAAATACATTACTCAGCCTGAATCATGTTATAAAAATATTTTGACACATATCATGGAATCATGCACTATATAGTTATTCTGAAAAAAATCTTGCTTCTGTATACATTGAGCAGGTGTAAGGGATCAGGGCATGTCTTCTACCCTTAAATATTTGAAATTCTTAGTGAAAATACTTCAGGGCAATCAGAAACTCCAAATTTTGGTGAGAAGCAGTAGTGGGATGATGTTCAGTAGCCCTCAGTAGAAGAATGTTGTTTTGATAGCAACAGCACTTAAATTTACAGGTTATGGGGTAGAGTAGCAACAGAAAGCCCAGGCCAGGCTGTTACTCACGGTACTTTGACAATCACTATTTGATGCTTCTGGCAAGGGAGGTCTGCATTTGATGGGGACTAACACAGCCAAATACATTGAGTGGAACAGACCATGTCCGTTTATGTGGGCACACTATGGCCAAACTTGGTTTTTGGGTTCTGTCATGGTCAAGAAACTTCAAATTACTGCATTCATTATCAGAAAATGTCTAAAATGTGGGCGCTGTTCGGTCCCATTTTTTATCAGCCAGCTGTGAGTATGCTGCTGTTTCTTGGCTCCTCATTGGTCAAATTCACATGGCCTATTCATTTGACCAATGAGAGGACACGAAGCACCAGCAATAACTTCCTTATATGGGAAAACCGACAGCATGCAGATAAAAACAGCAGGGGTTCAGAGTTCAGACTTCATATAACAGGCTGTACCTACTTGGGTAAGGCTGGGGCTGGTGTTTACTGTTTAGGCAGGCTTGAGGCAGGCTATTTGGTGCCTACCGACCGTGCCTACAGCATTATTACTTAGAGACAATTTTCAAGCATTAGTAATTAGACCAAAATAAGACAGCTAGTCCATTCAAACACACGAATAAAATATATGTAACAAAGAACTCGCTAAGAACATCGAAGCCAACAAGAAGCCAACGAAGTTCGCACCCAGTCGCACCATCGCATTATCACACATTTCGAGAGTACTGTTTATTGACGACCTCGATGTGCTTTCAGAGAGCGGTACCCACGCAAAAGTCGCCATTCATTTGCCCATTTGCGCTCGTGTGCACTATCAACATTGCAAGCGAAAAAGAATATAGACTTAAGTTTGGTATACTGTTTATTGATAAAAAGTAATTTTATATGACGTCACAAATAAAATAGCTGTTTTGTTATACAGCCTGGAAATGTTATCTGATCACATGCTTAATTTACTTTTCTGTCATAAAAAGCCTCCAAAAAACATCAATGTTGTCCTAGTCACACTTTTTGGTATATAGAATAAAAGCCCATTTAAGCAACAAACGCCAAGTCAGTGCATACTTTGTACCGACGTCAGCAAATTTACTGAAAAGATACCAAGCCTCATACAGCGTGAAGTTGTTCCATGCGTCGCATTTGTCGACCAGCACCGAGGGCCGACCGTCGTGCGCGGGGTAAATTGAAATAGGAATTGAAATAAGAGATTTTTCCAATTGGTATATTATCTTTTTAATTTTTGAATAAGTTTCTGGGAGGATTTAGCTTCGGACAAGCGTTTCCGGTTAAGAGGATTAATGAGTCATTTAAATGAAGGGTGCCAGAGCTAGAGGGCCTGCACATTCTGATTCACACTGACTCAGACTCCACTCAATTTTAAGATTTGCAATTAAGCATTGGTTTTATTTTCAATGAATAATTGCAGCGGTTTTTATTTATTCCTGCAGACAAAGCTAAAGCGACGCTAGCATTAGGGCCCATTGGTCTCCAATCTCCATTTTCGCTGTTTGGTTTCTGTTTGATGAATTCAGTTCCGTGTTTCATGTCATTAAGTTTGTCTCAATTCTTGTCACAAACAAACTGCTTGTAGGTACCTGATTGGTGATCGCTTCTGCGTTGCGGTGCAGTGATCGCTTCTGTCACCCTCTGTCACTCAAATCTATAAGTGAATTGAATCTCAATTGGTAGAGGAGATGTCACCCCAGATTAGATCATACTTTTGCACCCTATGCTCAAAACTGAATAAAAACCACACCATACATAATACATATTGTCTCCAAACCATACATCAACCTAGAAAATTGTTTGAAACATCATTAAATGCAAAAAATCAGGCACACTTCAAGCTGAAATAATGGGACCTAATCTAACCTGACTTAACCCTACCTACCTAACCTTACCTGACTCAATGTGTGGTTGGCTGTAACTTATAAATCTTTTATGTAAAGAGTATTGTAAATATAAATATATGGTCTCATTTTCGACCTTAGAAGGATGTGCTCTTTCTTTTCCTGTTTTTGTTTTGTGAGTTTTCATTTTTGAAATGGTGGAATTGGAGGAAATCACCTCACCCCATGATTCAGAACCTGAAAATGTTGACAATTCTTATTTTTAATATCATGTAACTGATGACCTGCTGAACAAAATTTAGATGAGCTGAATGATATTGCCTGCACAATCATCCTGGAAGGTCACTCATGGCCATAATGTATCTTATCTTTTGTTGGTTTAAGTTAAGCTCATGCCTTTGGCTGTTGTTCTTGTTTTATCATGACTAGCACTTTGTTTTACTGTTACATCGGTATGCTATATAGTATCAGAATCAGAATCAGAATCAGGATGTATTTCGTAACAAATCCATTAAATCATGGTTTTTCGTCGTCACACGTCATATTATTAAAACACGTATGTAGGTAGGACGTAGGTAGGTAGGCGCTACAGTACCAGTACAGTGCATGCATCTACAATCACATATCGTCACGTCCAAATGACTACTGCACAACGCGCAGATCACGGCGCTCGAACACCGCCGTGCTGGACGCGCAACAGATGGCGTCTCAGCCGGGACCTGAAGCCCCGAGCGTTCACGTCAAATGGCAGCCGGTTGTACTCCTGCACGCCACTGTAGCACAGACGGCGGCGACCTAGCTCCGTCCGTATTCTCGTTAGGGCGCGCTGCGAGGAGCCTCGTGTCTGGTATTGGTGCTCAGCGACTCCACCGATGCAACCAGCTACGCTCTCAGGTCTCCCCGTGGTTATCGCAGTGTGAACCAGGCACAGCCGGTGGTACATGACAAGGCTTGGCGCGTCTAGCCAGTTAAGTTGTCGAAACACATCAGATATGTGGTCATGTTTCCGCCTGCCGCTGACGACTCGAGCTCCAAAGTTCAACAGCTTTTGCACTCTATGGAGCTGCGTCGCGTTACACGTGCCGTACACTGAGATGCAATATCTGACAACAGACGTGACAAGGCCTTGCACGATGGTCATAAGAGTACTTTTTGGTATGGTGTGTTTGGCGTGCATTAAACCTACGAGAATGCCCGTACACTTCGCTGTAACATGGTCGACATGTGGCTGGAAATTTAAATGGCAGTCCATGATCACTCTTAAGTTTCGTACCACCCTGGAATCTGGCACGACGGTACCCAAGAAGTTCATCGCGACCGGCGGTAAGCCCCTCAGCATTCCAGGGGTTCCCATTACCAGTGCCTGCGTTTTGGCTGCGTTCAGCTTCATGCCGTGAGAGCAAAACCACGTGTATACACACTCGAGTGCGCGTTCCATGAGAGCGGTTATGCGCGGCAGGTCGCTTTTCTGGCCGCTGACGAGCAGTTGTGTATCGTCCGCAAACTGCACACTGCAAACTGCAAACTGCAGTGTCTACTGCCTGGTACCTAATCATATCCCTGAATGTTTCTTTTGCAGGACTTCAGCACCATGGACGACGACTGGGATGCTGAGGTTTCCAATGGTCCTGTCCAGCAGGCTCCCCAGTATCAGCCGCCAGCAGGTCCCCAGGTCTGGGTGGGCCGGGGCCGAGGTCAGGCCTGGGCACCTAAAGAGGCAGCTCCGGCATGGGGAGCACAGAACTCGGGACAAAGCTGGGGCGATCAGAACTCCAACCAGAGCTGGGGAGCTCCGAATGGCGCCCAGGAGGCCGGCGGATGGCGCGGCCGGGGCGGTGGCAGAGGCGGCCGCAGTGACGCGCCCAACTGGCGCGGCGGAGGTGGCGGCGGCGACGGGGGCGGCCGGCCGCCGCCGCAGCCGACTGGTCTCCACATGATGGTGAACTCCTCGGATGTGAGCCGCATCATCGGACGGGCTGGCTCCAACATCCGCGAACTGGAAAACAACTCCGGAGCCAAGATCAGGGTAAGTTCAACTTGTGCCTTACGGAGCAGACAGTCCGTGTAGCCTCGTCAGCGTCTCACTGCGTAACTGGACCGTTAGTTTTGCCAAGATACGAAACTGTCTATCGATTCTTTAAATGATTTATTTTTCCTCGTTCTTTCTTAGAGATATTTTTTGCAGATTTTTACGATCGTCTTTGTCTATCTGCCGATCTTGTAGCTTGATACATATCCCCCCCCCCCCCAATGGCAACATATGATGGTTCCCATATGATTCTCTCCCATCCTTCTCAGGTCATAAGGGACGCCGGCGGCCCTCACGAGGCGCGTGTCGACTTCAGCGGCGACCCCGAGTGCCAGGAGCGTGCCAAGCTTCTCGTCGAGCAGTTTCTCATCGACTTCGACGCGAACCCGCGCCCGGCCGGTCGCCGGCCTGGCCGCAGTCCGTCGCCGGTACCTCGCAAACCGTACTCTGGTGACACTTTGCTGCTGGGCGGCCCAGCGGCGCCGCCGGCTCCCACATTCAGCCTGAAGCTGGCCCTGGAGATGCAGGCCGAGGGCGACAAAGAACGCTGGAGCAAGCTGCCGCCGCTGCTCAAGGATTTCTACGAGGAGGATCCGACGGTGGCCACCATGCCGGAGGACGAGGTGGCTCAGCTGCGCGCTGAGATGAACGATGTTCACGTGAGCTGCGACGAGGGTGCTAAGAACGTGCGTTTCCTGAACCCGGTGAGCACGTTCGACCAGGCGTTTGCACCGTACCCGGAGATTCTGGACGAACTGAAGCGGGTGGGTTTCGAGAAGCCGACGCCGATCCAGTCGCAGGGCTGGCCGGTGCTGCTCTCCGGCCAGGATCTGATCGGCATCGCTCAGACGGGCTCCGGCAAGACGCTGGCCTTCCTGCTGCCGGCGCTGATCCACACGGACAGGCAGCCGGTGCCCCGCGAGGACCGCGGCGGGCCCAACGTGCTCGTCCTGGCGCCCACCCGCGAGCTGGCGCTCCAAACCGAGCGGGAGGTGCAGCGGTAAGCCAGCTGAAGGGGGAGGGGCGCACTTCGGCATTTGCTGACTGGCTGGGAGCTGTCTCATAAGTGCTGATCTTGAATTGTGCTAGATTTAGTGCATTTCATCATACGATGCAGTACCATGTCAACTAAACGTTATGTTCATGGTTCGAATTTTCTTGCAAGTTTGATATATTTGTATGCTTGAGCTAGTTACCTTGATTGATAATCGTTTATCTGAAATTCGTCCAAAGTCCCTCGCAGTGAGCGTAGGCTTTCCGCGACCGCCTGTCAATATTAGACTATTCAGTTTAAGTCAGTTTAGACTATGCTAGATTATGCTGACGGCCGCCGCCCCTTGCCAGGTACAACTACAAGGGTATCCGCAGCGTGTGCGTGTACGGCGGCGGCGACCGGCGACAACAGGTCAAGGCCGTCTGCAAGGGAGTCGAGATCATCATCGCCACACCGGGACGTCTGAACGACCTGGTGCAGGCTGGTACGTCGGTGCGCGGCGGCCCTCGCCGGGCGTCTGGGGTTTGGTCTGGGGTTTCAGTACTTCGAGAGTAGGGGTTGCCGTGCCACTAGGCTTTTACTCTGTTTTGGAGACTGACAGATAACGATCTGAACAATTCTACTTCCTTCAACCCACACCGCGTACGGACCTAGTTTGCTTGATTCGCCCGTGACTCTTCCTGTCTCTCCGAGGTGTCCAACTTATTTGCAGCTCACGTCTCAGGTTTTATCGACGTGACGTTTCCCCGCTTTCCTGTCATCAGTCTGCTAACGCCCATCTCTGCCCTCTGATTTCACTGTCGCAGCGTCCTGCCCTCGGTTTTAACCAGCATGGTTTTGGTAACCGTCCTCAGATCTCACTAATGCTACCTTCTGCCCTCTGGTTTCACTGAAGTTGCGTTAGTCTACCCTCAGGTGTCACTTATATGACGTGCATCCCTTCAGTTATGTTTCACTGATGCTACGTTCTACCCTCAGGTTTCACTGACGTGGCGTTCTACCCTCGGATTTCACTTATATGACGTGCGTGCCTTCAGTTACGTTTCACTGACGTGGCGTTCTACCGTCAGGTTTCATCGACGTCAGCTCGGTGACGTACCTGGTTCTGGACGAGGCCGACCGCATGCTCGACATGGGCTTCGAGCCGGAGATCCGGAAGGTGCTGCTGGACATTCGGCCCGACCGACAGACCGTCATGACCAGGTGAGTCGGCAGAGGGTGAGCGTTTCCACAGCGCGGTCGCTTTGGGGGAGGGCTGAAAGTTGCTCAATACGTAGGATGGCTGGCGTTGAAAACGAATGGTCGTGACAGGGCCTTGGTTGTGGCGCTCAACCGATTGATTCGCGATCTTTCACCCAGCATTGGTTGACTTTGACTTTCGTGAGGAATTCGTGATCGGGTGAGCTGATAAATCCTTGAATTTGAAGCTTGAACTGAGTTGGTAAATTTCTACCTCTGACCTGACCTTGCCCCCATAGACGCAACTCCTCTCCGCTTCTTTCGTGCTCCCCACGTGTTTTTGCTAGCCGCCTGTGACACGTGTTTCGTGCTGCGCAGCGCCACGTGGCCGATCGACGTGCGCCGAATCGCCGACAAATACATGTCGTCGCCAATCCATGTGGTGGTGGGCACACTGGACCTGAGAGCGTGTCGCACCGTCGAGCAGGTCGTGCTCTTCTGCAGAGACGAGGAGGAAAAGAAAGAGCGGGTGAGTGCGTGGTGCTCAATGCTCACCTCCTTCCTCTGCCCAGCGGATCGGGTGGTTATTGTTCAAGCACCCTGGCTTGGCGGTAAAGCTACATAACTCAGCTGAAGTAATATCGAGGGAACACAAAAGTCATAACTTGGTGTATTTTCGGCTTGTTTCCTGTTCTTTCACTACCTATTCTCTGACTGCCAGAATCGTATGGATGCACATGAATTTGCTGTGTTGTCTGTTGGTATCGACTATTCATTTATGCTTTATTTACAGTTAGTTATTTACAGTTAGTGTTTGATCTACTCTGTGTTCTTTAGTGCGTTTATGCAGCACATCATAATCTAACGCGCCTGTTCACAGCTGGACGAGTACCTGTACAATATGGGCCCCGAGGAGAAGATCATCGTGTTCTTCGGACGGAAGGCCAAGGCCAGTCAGCTGTCCATCGACTACGGTCAGTACAACCCGGTAGAGGTGCGGGCCAGTCGCGCTTAACCGGCTGGGAGTGATGGGAATTCGGATTAGACATACACAGGATCTTTTTTTCTTCCTTTTCATGCATTTTCAAGGTATGTATTTTGTTGACTGTAGCCTGATCTGCGTTTATTCTCCAGTGTTCACGTTCCATAACTCCAATCCTCACCTGTCATTGACCGTCATTTAAATTTTGATAGCTCTAACCTATCCGTCTACCTGGTCACTCGTCGAAAACGGATCTAAATATTTTAGTCCACGTCCAATCCCCCCCCCCCCCCAATAACCTCGTTCCACCCCCTCCCCCTCCTCAACAACCCTAATCACCCGTCTAAACCCCGCTTCCAACTACCCCTGGTCCAGTCCGACAAGCTAATTCCCCTGGGCGGCTGGTCCGACTGTGTTATAACCCAGCTCTACCGCCGCCCCTGCCTCCAGGTGTGAATGGTATCGACCTACAGTCGATTCACGGCGACCGGCCGCAAGAGGAGCGCGAAATCGCCATCGAAGACATGCAGACCGGATCGTGCCGCGTGCTGTTCGCCACAGACGTGGCCTCGCGCGGCATCGACATCCCGGATGTCACGTACGTAACTGAGAGAGGTGTGGCACGGAGTTGGATAAGAGTGACACGGAGTTGTATTAATAAGTGTCACAAAGAGTTACGGCTAGACGGGGAGCGTTATGGTCGATGTTGTTCGGTGGAGGCGGTTGTGATGGTTGTTATGTTTATAGTTTCGCACAGGATGTGTTCCATTATCTGCAGCCTGGTGGAGACTAGCGTGCGCTATGAGCGATAAGTCATGTGCTAGCGTTTAGATCACAAGCTAGTGTCATGGGTATTCGGATGTCATGCTACATCTCCTATCTAGACAACAGACTGGTGACATTGAACCACTTCCCCTCTCGGCAGACTCATCATCAACTTCGACTTCCCCCGTGAGATCGAGGACTACGTACATCGCGTGGGCCGGACGGGCCGCGCCGGCAAGTCGGGACGCGCCGTCACCCTGATGGTGCGCGAGGACTGGAGGCACGCTGCCGAGCTCATCGACATCCTGCAGAAAAACCAGGCGGTGAGCGACCCGGCACGAGATGGTGCAGTTGGAGGGAAGGGTTTGGTGCGGCGGTCTCGTGGGTACTCACCACTCACGGTTAGTTTTATGGCCGAGTACTATGAAACATAGGGTATGTTTGTTCGTGAAATACTGTCACAATGTTCGTGAGTCACGAGTTACGATCGTTTGTTCCTGCACGACGAGTCAACAAAAATAAACAGACGGGCTCCCAGGTGCAATTGTTATATCGATCAATAACTGTGTTTAACAGCCCGGGAGCCGGTGGTGTGTTCAGCTCGATCTTACTGCGCTCGTTGTCTCGCTGCTCTCTGCCGGACCGCGCTGACGCCCTGTTTCCGTTCTCAGGAGGTACCCGAGTGGCTGCAGGGCATGGCCGACCGGTTCGGTCGAATGAAGGAGCGCCGAGAGGCCGAGGGCGGCGGCGACCGGCGCGGACGCGGCGGGTTCGGCGGCCGCTCCGGTGGAGGCCGGTCGGGCGGCAGGGACCGGCGCGGCGGCGGCATGTTCTAGGCGGCGCCGCGAGCGAGCCGGGCTTTCATAATAGCCGATCTTGAATTCCACGCGCAGGGATTGAGAGAATGCTCGTGATGGTGTGTACAATGAGAGTCGATTGTTTTTTATTACATGTGATGAGCGTTCCTATGTGAGCCTCGCAAGCCAAGAATACATGTTACTTGTTTTTTACTCTGTGCCACGTGTGCTTGACGCGGATGTCCAATGGATTGTCAACGCTAGATCATTACAGACAGATACCTAGTTACAGACCGGATAGCTGGTCATCGCACAGTAAGGGTGGTGTTCTTAATGTTCCTACGCCACCATCTCTCATTGCTGGCTGCTAGTCAGAGATGAGAATAGTCGTTTCCTCTCGTCGTCCCCAGTTCTATGGAGGACTCCAGCCTTAGAAGTGGTTTGTAGTCTCCTCGTCAGGCGTCATTTTATAGCCAGGACGGTGTAGGTGCGCTTGACTCACAAGGGCACGAATGGAACCAGTAATTTATCGTGGCCGCTCTGCGCTATGGGTCACGATCACGACTGACCCGGGCGACATTTCACGGGGCCGCCCAGGTCGACATTTGACGTATGTAGCCGACTGAAGTGAGACATACTGTACTGTGACATGAGCACATGGACCGATCGCACGGTAGCCCGTTGGGACGGATCGCTGACGGTCACGAGTGGGGCTCGTTATGTGAGGTCAGGTCACGGCAGGGGTACCAGTCCCCCGTTTGCTTGCCAGAGTCGAGTTACACGTCGCCGGTGGGGTCACCCATAACTACTGGTCGGTCCTGTTTTGATATTGTCTCACGAGCCGTCTTCTACCGTCTAGCAGCTGTATTGCATCCCCGCATAGCACAAACGTCTCTGTTCTGTTGACGCAATTTATTGATCCGATACCAAACTGCCATGACAAGAGACTGCATAAAACATTAAGTCCGATGACACAATCCACAAGGAAGGGGCGAAGGGCGGTACCGGGAGGTCACCGGAGGGACGGGCACGTGGGGCGCCAGTGGTGATAAGCAGTGTTCGCCACGGGCCGGGCCAGCCCAACGGGCCATGGGCCGGGCTGGGCTACGGGCTGGGCCGGGCCCCCAAATATCATTAGTTAACGGGCTATGGACGGGCCGGGCCAAGAGCTTTGTGCACTATGGGTTTTGCGTTGCGACTAATGTCAATTGAAGAAAATTTGGAAACTGATGCAAACAAAACCCACTGGGAAAATACAAAAACTAAACCAAATTTAAGCAATGTGAAAGAAAACCTACTTGATATTGAAATTTGGGAATCTTGAGAATTATCCAATATCACATCATGTCACACATAGGAGGGTTTTCATAAAAATGCTGCAACCAAAAAGATCAGAGAATCTCTAGCATCATTAGTTTGTTAATAAAAGTTAAAATGTAGTCATCAGAATAACTTATTTAGCACTACAACTCCAAAAACTAAGAAGCCACTCAACAATGATGGGCTACAGGGCTACATTAAGTTTAACACTTATATATTGATATGGCGATAGTGAGACAATTCCAACACAGTCTTTTTTCCTTCACCGACGGCTTTTTAACGAACAGAACCTTAAAAGGATACTCACAAAACACACTGTAAGTAACGAGGAATTCTACAGAGTATTTCGCGATGAAAGCTTCTTTAAATGTCCATAAATTTGTCAAAATAAATCACAACAAACCAGCCCCCTCTCACTCTCAACAAAATTTGCATCATGGCGGCGGTGCTATGTTTATGTGGCGGCATCTAGGTAGTATACACAACAGTATATCAAATAAATACGTTTTTTAAGTAAGTACCAGGGTGAAAAACAAAATTAAACAAATAAAAAATAAAACTAAATCACAAAGTCTGAAAACTTGAACGAAAAACAAAACAAATACTTGATCATATATGTTTTATTATACAATTGGTCAAAATCGCTACCTGCCGCAGCTGCGACAATTAAGAAGTGTTCGCTCATTTTCGATTGATGATGATGATGCGTAAAATTCGTAAAAGTACCCAATGCCATTTCAAGCTTACCATGTTTTCTGCTTACGCTGCTAGCGATATCCATATCTTGAAAAGAGCCTAACATAAAATAGCAAGGAAAGTAGCAGATAGTTGTCCACACTCCACAGAGATTCGGTTGACACGTGGGCATGAATTGAAAATAGTTTAAATCAGTTTTGCTGATAAATGGATGGATTTTCTCTTTTTTTGGAAGACAGTGCTAAAGTTGAAGTTGAAGTTGAAGTTGAAGTTGTAGTGAGCTGTAGTAGACTAGGTCTATTCAGTGCTCACATCGAGCCGGACTAGGAATGAGGTCAATTGTGGTGCGAGGAGGCAGGTTCGGCAGCCCTGTGGTCTAGCCTGTTTTTAAACGTATTTGTAGATGGAGCCTCCACCACATCTCTTGGCAATTTGTTCCAGTCGTTTACTACTCTGTTTGAAAAGAACTTCAGCCTGTACAGATGGCTTGATCTGCCTTTCTTCAGTTTCAGATGGTGTCCTCTAGTGCGGTCTTCATGGTCGACTTCGAAGAACTGCTCACTATCCACCTTAACCTTCCCTGTTAGGAGCTTGTACGTTTCGATGAGGTCGCCTCGACGCAATCTGTCTTCCACGCTAAGAAGTCCAAGTTTGTGGAGGCGTTCTGGGTAGGGTAGGTTCCTTATAGGTCTGACAAGCTTTGTCGCCCTCCTCTGTACTTGTTCCAGCAGCCTGATATCCTTTGCAGTGTATGGACCGACAGCCTGCATACAATATTCAAGATGTGGACGGACATAGGTGGTGAACAGAGGCTTGAAGTTGACGAGATCGAGTCTGTCGAACGCTTGTTTTAGCATTCGGAGGGCTGACCGGCCTTTAGCAGCAGCTTTCTGACAGTGTATTGCCGGTTTTAAGTTACTTGACACGTGAACTCCTAAGTCCTTCTCCAAGGTACTTTCTTGCAGCTTTTTACTGTTTGTGCCGTCAGACATGAAGTAGTCAACATTTGGATTGCTTGAGCCACAATGCATTACTTTACATTTTGATTCGTTAAATTTCAAAAGCCATTCTTCGGACCACTTCTGCAAGGATAATATGTCCTGTTGAAGTATCTCAGCATCTTGTTGTACTTGAATAGGTCTATATATCTTGGCGTCGTCCGCAAACATTTTCATGTTGCTGCGCACAAGGTCTGGGAGCTCATTTACAAACATAATGAATAAGACAGGTCCCAACACCGATCCTTGGGGGACCCCACTGGTGACCGAGCACCATTCAGAGTGGTCTGACCCTATCACCACTCGTTGTCTTCTGTTTGTTAAAAAGTCACATATCCAAGACAGTACATTTCCTTTGATGCCATACCCAGAAAGCTTTTTCATAAGTCTCTTGTGTGGCACACTGTCAAAAGCCTTTTGGAAGTCTAGGTAAAGTATGTCAACTCCTCGTCCATCATCGATAGCTTTCGTCCAGTGCTCTAGAGCCTCGAGTAGGTTGGATTGACAAGACCTCCTGGATACAAATCCATGCTGGTGCTCGCTCAAGAGGTCATTTCTCTCGAGGTGAGTTGTTACACTCCTTTTAATTAACCTTTCCAACACTTTCCCAACTTGGCTGGTCAAGCTTACAGGTCTGTAGTTTCCTGGTTTATTTCTGTTACCCTTCTTGTATATCGGGACAATATTTGCATCCTTCCAATCCTGAGGTACTTGACCCTCTTGCAGTGACTTGTTGAACAGTTGGTGGAGAGGCTGAGTCAGCTGTTCTGCACACCTCTTCAATACAATGTTGGGAATGCCGTCAGGACCAGGTGCTTTTGGTTCGCATAGGTTGACAAGCTCATTTTTGATTGATTCAGGTGTTATTTCTATGTCTGTGATGGCTTCCTCTGGTTGCAATCGATCTTCAAATCCTGGTAAGGGAGCATCACCCTCTTCTACAAAGACAGATTTGAAGAAGACCTGCAGGGCAGCAGCAGTTTCTTTGTCACTTGAGGTCAATCTTGCTCCATCTTCAACTGCGTGTACAGCTGGTTTAACTTTCTGCTGGGCCCTGACATACTTGTACAATTTCTTTGGATTTTGTTTGACGCTTTTGGCTAATGCCGCTTCATATTCATGTCTCCGCTCCCTGATTTTGCTTGTAGCTGCATTACGCTGCACAGTGTATGCTTTATAGTCTTCACTTGATTTGGTTGCAGCATATTTTTTCCAGAATTCATGTTTGAACTTCACTGCCCTGGTCAGTTCCCTGTTCCACCAGGGTGCAGCCTTCTTGCATGGTCCTTTCCTGTGTTTTGGAACTAGGGTTTCAAAACAGTTATTTATCTTGCCTTTTATGTACTGCCAAGTTTCTTCAACTGAAAAATCATTTAGAACATTCCAATCAACAGTTCCTAGTGCTTCTCTTATCCCTGAGAAATTAGCTCGTTCAAAGTTCAGACTGTTTGCCTTATCTTTCATTGCCATTCTGTCTGGTCGGTCTCCCAAGTAGAGGATCCATGAGAGAACAGCGTGATCACTTTTCCCTAATGGGACCCCAACACTGATCTCTTCAATCATGCCTTGCTCATTTGTAAACACCAAGTCAAGCCTGGAAGGTTCTTGGCCATCTCTGAAACGAGTGGGTTCGCGCACATGCTGATATAGGTAGAGCTCCTGTATTGCATCAAGAAACTTTGCTTCTTCTGATTCCTCACTTCCATTGACTGTTTCATTTTCCCAATCTATCTGTCTGAAATTGAAGTCTCCCATGATCAAAACATACCTGGCATCTACAGTTGGTAGTCTCTTCAGCATATCATTCAATATCTTGTTCTCTTCTGGAGTATTACTTGGAGTTCTGTAACACACACCGACCAACAGACAGGCATGTCTGGAGATTCTTATTTTGCACCATACACAGTCTTCAATACCTTCATCATTTAAATCTTTGCAATCTTCAATCTTCCAGCAGTCTCTTACTAATATGGCCACACCTCCACCCAGTCTACCTGCTGTCCTATCCTTCCGAACTTGCTGGTAACCTTGTATCTCAAAGTCGCCTTTTTGCCAAACTTCAGTAATGCCTATCATATCTGGCTTTTTCTCATAAATTCTACCTCTTAACTCACTAAGCTTATTGGTCAAACAGTTTGCATTTGTGTACATACCACTCATTTGACAGGGTGTACTTATGGTGCTAGTACCTGGGGACGA